AGCGGCGGCAAGAGAGCCGAGGCAAGAGCAGACCTAAACAGTTTACCGCGCGAACCCGCCGCCGCCGCGCGCTGCGCAGCAGTCTACTTATTCAGCAACAACCCAACCCCTTAAAAAAAATAAAAAAAAAATTGAGGAAAACAAGTAATTTTTTCTTGTTGCCCTGGGAACATTTTTGTTTTCCCTTGCACAATTCCGCGCAGGAAAAGTTTTTATTTTTCTTCATTTTTTTTGGACTCCGCGCGGCTGGTGTGGCTACTGGATGCTGCTGCAGCGGGTGACACAAAACGGGTAGGGAAGGGAAGCTGTGGCGGAGACAGATAGCCCGCGCGCTGCTGCTAACGCTAAACCGTAAACGGCGTAAAAAGACCTCCCCCCACTCTCCCCCTCTCACCCTTTCCCCTCTTTTCTGTAGCCAAAAACAAAACAAACAACCAAAAAAGTGCCTGAAAAAAATATAACGCCGCGCATCTGAAAGTAAAAACAAGAGAGTAAATGCAGCGGATGGGACACGACAGGGGAGGCATTTTCTCATGGCCTTCCTCCTGTCCCCTTTCCTACTCTCCTCCTCCCTCCAGGCCGGGCTCGCCTCGCTCCTTCCTCCCCTAAGCGTGAGGGACAACAAGTTGTCTGTGCGTGTAAACAGGGAGGCGGACAAGGGAAGGGTGTCACCCTGCCGAGGCATGGCGCGGCGTGGCGCGCGGGGGAGAGAGAGAGAGAGAGAGAAACTCCTTCCGGGTCCGTTCCGGCCTGCTGCTAATCTAATCTGAATACTACTGCGTGTATGTATGATTTCCACCAGCAGCCGAGGACTCTGCTGTCGTCAAAATTTGTGCGGCTCAACAACAAGTCATTTGAAATGATTTTCCTCCTCCGTGGTCCGTGGTGTTCAAGAGAGGGTGGGAGCGGAAGACGGCAAGAATAGGGCCAAGGGACGAAAAGAGGTACGCGCAGAGGCAGAAAGAGACCGCCTGTTTGACAAGACGACTTTTGGTATTTGGCGCGATTTGGTCCTCTTGGAGCGGCGCAGATTGGCTCCGAGGGGGTCGAGGATTTGGACCAAATCCCCTTCCCTCCCCCTCCCCCC